ACCTGCATCCTATACGGAACCGTCATTTACGCTGACGTGCCTTACCGTCTCGGCCACAAAGGAGCGTTCGGTAGGCAAGGTCGAATTTTACTGCTTATAAACTTCAATCTTCCATGAATCTCGTACATTCATAACTGCTCTGGCGTATCAAATATCATTCAGGCCGGTAAATGTTATTTAATACTGTTTATTATAAACAGAACATTTACTTATATACTTGTATCTATAAAAAGAACGTTAAACATAAAAAATGTCTTTAATAAATAAATTGACTTTCGGACTTTATATATATATATATATATATATATATATATTATATATAAGAAATATATATATATATATATATATATATATATATATATATATATATATATATATATATATATATATATATATATCCGCCAGTTGCTTTTCACCAACTATTGGAGATAAAAAAGAACAAAGAAAGCAGATAGCGCAATGTCAGACCTCCATTCCACATATCAGCTTCATCTGGAAGAAAGTATCATGCAAAGATTTCTCTGTTAAGCCACTCCAAACGTTGCACGAATGTTTGACCAAAAATAGTGCTAACGTTATTTCGCAAGATCAATGGATGCCTACAAATACTACTAAGGAAAGAAAGGAAATATTTAAAAATGTAAGATGTTTCGCTTTTTTAAAGCTTCATCAGAGGAAAGAAAGAAAATTCTGCTATTTTAAATTTTTTGTTGTTCGTATTTCATTGGATAAGCAGACATCACGTGCATCTGATTATCAGGTGGTGTGTATGGGTATCATAATTCTAGTTTGTCTATGCGGGATCATTCTGTCGAATTCTAATGTATATTTTATCGCAAATCATATATATATATATATATATATATATATATATATATATATATATATATATATATATATATAAAGAAATAATATATTTTAAATATACGAAAAAAAAATGCCGTAAGAATTTTAGCCGTTAACAATATAATTTTAAAAAATCTAGACGACAGGCTTTAACGGAAGTTAGATTTCATTGAAAAATGTATCCCTTCCCCCGACCCAAACGTAGCAATAACTGATACATTAAATTATAGACATATTGAAAAACCAGCCACCCCTGTCTAGAAAAATAGATTTATCTGTAACCTTGGACACATGAATTTTGTTTTAGCTGTGTATTTAAAACCCAGTAATATTAAAAAGTTACTCCAAAATTCGCTTGAGGATGAAATGGAACTAATGTCTTTAATTTAATCACAAAATTAAATTCGTGGCTTTTAGCTTCCATTTTTGAAACATGGTTAGAACTGTGTAGCGAAAAAACCATATTTTTAATCAATTAATTTATAATATTATATATATATATATATATATATATATATATATAAAAACAAAACCAGATATAAATATATATATTATATGTATATATATATATATATATATATATATATATATACAAAAATCTAAATTTTAATAAGTTTGTCCCTTTATCTTTAACGTTTGTTGTAATTCTATCATCGGCTCCTATATATATATATATATATATATATATATATATATATAATACTGACGGTATCGAAAAAACTATTATCTGTTTTATGAAGTTCCCTTTAAGGGCGAAACGCGTTACTGACTTTTTTTCCATTTTGTCATTTCACTTCTCCACCATTAACCTAATGTACTGCAAATTGAGCACTGTCGGTCATTGGCGTGTTTATTTGAAGAATGGGTAAGTAAAGATTTTTCTCCCTCTCTACTGGGCGCTGATAGCTCAGGAGTAAAATCTCCGACTGGTGCCAAATAGGGTTTCGATTCCGGCTTGATGCAAAAACATATATATTAACATGTAGGGTGTGTCAGAAATCGCTCCGATCTAACCTGTGATAAGTAAACCTACGATCTTGCTGAACAGACTTTACAAATTGAACCAGTCTCTGTACAAAACAACTTAGTTTACAATAAGTTACAATAGTCTACAATAAGCTTTGCAAGATACGTGCAAGCTTCAAGAGACATTGTCGTTCTTGAAACAGTGCCCAAACGTATCAGCGTTTATCGTACGCGTCTAACGGGCCTTCAGCCGCCATATATGTATGTATGTATCTATCTATGCAAGTTTGTGCGCAAATTAAGAGCAAATTACCACTTCTAAAACGAATGACGACACCCTCTGTTCATTGTAACATTGTAAGATCATTTTCATCTAAGAAAGACAATTTTCAAAAAACAGATACCGAAAATGACAAAAAAAAAAGATTAAGTCGCGAAAAGCCAGTAAGCATCGCAGTTAAATATCCGTACCTTTGCTTGTTTTTTGTGTGTATGTGGCGGGGGGTGGGGTCCTGTAAATTTACTGAAAACACTAAAACTGTCCTGTGCGTTCAAGCTAATCTCTGAAAAAAGACAGTCGATTAAATTATAACCAACTTCCATCTGCGTCACTCCGACGAGATAATCTAATTTTTACGACATGAAAGGTTACAATGATACCGCTCTTCGCTTTTCATTGTTTCCACCT